CCAGGACTCGAACCACAGTTGACTACATAGGAGTCCAGTGCCTCAACCACCCTCCACCTGCTGGACCTGGGGTTAGGTTCCACCATCTGAATTTTGAGGGGATGTGAGCTGAAATGCATGCTCGTTGTCCCCACACTGGGACGGCCTGAGCAGAGGGACAGAGCGGCCCCCTGACAACGCCCTCCCCTCCCCTCGGGGCCCAGCTCCTGGTCGGCCTGCAGCCTCTGCGTCCACCTGCCTGTCTGGCCTCCTCTCCACGTCTGCTTACTCTTCCACCCAGCTGCCGCCTCCTCCATCTCCCATTCTCCATCAGAGGGATACTGAGAAAGCAACCTGCCAGGCCCAGGACTCAAAGTTCAGTGGGCCACGTGGGAGCCCAGCACCCCAACCGCTGCCACCTGCCAGCCCCAGGGGCATCTTATTTAAGCCCATCTCGCCACCCCTCTGAGCGGGTGCTCTCTTCTGCCCTCTTGTGGTGGTCTAGCCATAGTGCAACTGGCCCCACATGGAAGCCCGGAAGTCTGGGCCCTGAGGCCTCCCTTGGCCGGCCAGGTGTGTGACCCAGGCTGGCTGCGGCAGGGGCTTAGCTGTGGCATGGGGACTCTGTGGGGGCGTTGCCTATGTCTCTGTCTCGCTCTCTCTCATAAAATAAAAGAGAATCGGGCTGGCCTGGTGGGAGCAAAGCCGTGGTCCCAGGTCATGGTGCAGACGCCGCACATGGGCAGGGTATTTTGGGAGCCAGGGCTATGTTTGCTGGGCATCAACTCTTCCAGCATCGACCTTTCCTCCACCTGTGTAACTGGCAGTATGATTCCTCATTTTTTTAAAAAAAAGAATTATTTATTTAATTCCATTTGTTATCATTGTTTTAAAATTTGACCAGGAAGAGACAGAGAGAAAGAGAAAAGCCACCGCCAGGTCCAGGACTCAAACTGGTTGGCCATGTGGAAGGGATTTGATGGATGATGTTGCCTGTATAGATCAAGTTACAAAAACTGACATCTTAAAAATACCATATTTTGGGCCAGCAGGTGGCGTGGTGGTTAGGGTCTCTGGCCCCCCACATGGCTGACCGTTGTTCAAGTTCTGGACCTGGTGGCTTGCTCTCTCACTTTCCATCCTCACTCTCGCTCTCTTGCTCTGTCCCTTTCTGGTCAAATTAAAATAAATATAAATAAAGTTAAGTAAAAATAATTCTAAAAAAAGAATAATTTTTTTTTTGTTTGGAGAGATTTTTGATATAGGGCGTGGGCACTCGCCACAAAGACAGAGAGAGAAAGAGAGACAGAAAGCGAGAAATCACCCCCCAGGGGGGATGGCCACGCTGCAATCCCTTCTCCTCCATTCTCCTCTCGGGATCTTGGGCACGCACACACACACATGCCCGGTGTGAGTTTAAGCCACTGGGTCCAGGACTCGAACCACAGTCGACTACACGGGAGTTCAGCGACATAGCCATTACGCTAACTGCTGGTCCCTATTTATTTATTTTTACATTTGAGAAGAGAGACAGAGAGTGAGAAAGCAACCTGGAACTCGAACCACGATCAGCCATGTGGTTGATCAGTCCAGTGTTTTAACTACCACACCAGTAGTTTGTCCCCTGCCCCAGTTTTTTTAAATTAAAAAAAACTTTGCTATTGGGTCTGTGTGTTTGTCAGACGCAGAGCCAGAGAGAGGAAAAGTGAGAAAGCAGAGCCCGGGGGGATGGCCACCCTGCATTATCCTCTCAGGATTTGGGGCACATGTAAGTAACACGCCAAACCGTCTCACTCACTCCTCTTTCTGTCTCTTACCAGTGAGCACACAAAATCTCGAGGAGAGAATGAAAGGCAAGGAACTGAGGCATGGCCATCCCCCCTGGGAGGTGATTTCTCACTTTGTCTCTGGCAAGCACATGTGCCCCACAGCAAAAAAAAAAAAATTAAAATTAAACAATTAAAAAAATAAAAGATGGTACATTTTGTTACCTATTTTTTTTGTTTGTTTTTGTTTTAGATTCTTGCTATAGGGTGTGTGCACTCACCAGAGAGACAGAGATGGAGAGACGGAAAGTGAGAAATCACCCTCCCTCAGGGGGATGGCCACACCACAATCCCTTCCCCCCCACTCCCCTCTCAGGATTTTGGGCACGCAGGCACACGCACCTGGTGTGAGTTTGAAGCCACTGGGTCTGGGATTTGAACTGCAGCCAGCCATGTGGGAGTCCAGCAACATAACCATTATGCCATCTGCTAGTCCCTTGTTACCTATGTTTCATCATAATAAAAATAAAACAATTATTTTTACACTTTAAAAAATATTTATTCATTTATTTTAATTTGATCAGAGACAGACACAGAAAGAGACAAAGGGAGAGTGAGAAAGCAAACCACTGGGTCCAAGACTTGAACCGTGATCGGCCATGTGGGAATGTCCAGCACCTTAACCACCACACCACCTGCTGGTCCCCAATTACTTTTTTTTTTTTTTTTAAGAATTATTTAACTTTATTTATTTGATTATTATTATTATTTTCCAGTTTGATCAGGCAGAGAGAAAGAAAGAGAGAGAGAGAGAGAAAGTGAGAAAGCAAGCCACCAGGTTCAGAACTTGAACCATGGTTGGCCATGTGGGAGTCCAGCGCCCTTAACCACCACGCCCCCTGCTGGCTCCAGTCCCCAATTACTTTTAAATTTTTAATTAATTTTTTTTTTTTTTTTCTTGAGGATGCATGAACTTGCCACAGAAAGACAGAGGCAAAGTAAGACATCACCCACCAAGAGGGAGAGCCTCACTGCAATCCCTTCCCCGTTCCAGGATTTGGGGAAAGTATGCACATGCACCTGGTGCCAATTTTTTTTGCTACAGGGGCATGTGCTTGCCAGAAAGAGAGACAGAAAGTAAGAAATCACCCCCCAGGGGGGATGGCCACACCGCAATCCCTTCTCTTCTATTCTCCTCTCTGGATCTTGGGTATGCACCCACACGGGCCTGGCGTTAAGTTTAAGCCACCGGGTCTGGGACTCAAACCATGGTCGACTACATGGGAATCCAGGACATAGCCATTATGCTAACTGCTGGTCTCCCCCATCTGCTTCTTAACAAGGTCTGGTGGACGCAGTCACATCTGCGGGGTGCCAACACCTGGCCCCTTCTCTGTTCACAGGTCGGGAGACCCACAAACCTGGACTGAGGAGCTACCCAGAGGTCCCAGCAACCGCCGGGGTCCGAGCAGCCAAAGGACACCACAGGAGCGAGCTCCCCTGGAGGTGGCAGCCTGGGTCCATGACCCTCATCGGCCAGAAATCTCGAGGCCCCCAGAGCCGTGGGGCCAAGTGCTGCACTTAGAAGACGGAGGTGAGCACAGAAAACCCAGTGTTGGACACGGTCCTTCCTGCCCCACCACCAGGGGGTGCAGCTCGGCCTGAGTCCTGGGTGCTGGCTGAGGGGTGCCACCCCCAGTCCCCACCCGCCCGCGCTGGGGGTCAGGGCAGCTGCTGGAAGACCAGTGCCGCCTCCATCTCTTCTCATCTCACCAGGATCCTACAGGGTGAACCCCACGGACCCACTCCACAGAGGGGAAACCGAGGCCCAGAGAACCCACAGCTCACCTGGGGCACGCACGAGGGAGCAGCCGCGCTCGTAACCACCCGGCCACCCGGGTCCTGCATCTGGGCCCGTCCGACTCACCTTCCCCTCCCCGAGGGAGATGAATCCCAAGGGACACTCGGGTGCTCCCAGAGCTCAGAAGTGACCACGGCAGGGTCCAAAGTGGGGCAAGGGAGACAAGGCGAGGTCTGTAGGGACCCCACTTGACCGGGAAGCCCACCCGGGCGACGACAGCACCTCCGCCCCGTTCCAGGACATGCACGGGCTGGGCTGAGCTGTCTGCTGGCCCCCGGCCTGCGGGCTGGTCACACGTCACACACCATCACCCCCACACTGTCACAGCTCAGATATCCCACTTCATTTATTACCAAAATATCACAGAGTTCCAGTCATGGGTGACATACAGCATGTAACACGGGCCTGACGCCGTGGGAAGGGCGGTGTCTGGACAGGTGGACTCGTTTGGAATCGTTAAGTAAACACCCCACACCCTTATCACTCACTCCGGACTTCAAAAATACGCTTTGGAGAGCTCTGGAAACTGAATTAAAATGTCTACACAGCTATGAACAATTGTTTAATAAAACTTTTTTCATGTTTCCATTACATGTAAATATATCAATTTGGCATCTCTATAAAAACTCTGAAAATGGTGCAAAAGTCTCATCCTCTTTGAGAAAGCCATTGACAAAAAATATTCACACGTCACTAAAATTTTGAAAAAATGGTCTTCTTTCAAAGCTTCTTTATTCATCTGAAATCTTCTGGGTTTATCAAAATCTAGGTTTGCTTTTTCCTTCTAAAACACTAAAGAACATTGATTCACAAGGATTAAGGAGGAAAAAAAAAGCGATGGGGAGATGGAAAACGGATAAGGTTTTTTTTTTCTTCTGAAAATCATAAAAAAAAAAAAAAAAAAGCTAGTTACATAAGCATCCTCCAAAGAACACAAGGGGATTCACTTTATTGTTGACTTTTGGACAGCAGTGTCAGACTTTATTGAAAACAAACCCATGTGAAAACAAAGTTAAAATGAAAAATGGTACCTGAAAAATAAATTATTTTATATAAAACAAATCGATAACTTAAAACACACTAATATACAAAACGTCCAAAACGTCTAGCCGTCTACTGTACAACGTGGGACTTGGTGGGAAGAGCCTCCCCCCACCCCCACCAGAGCTGGTCACTGTCAACGGAACATCACATGGTAAAAAAGAGGTGGCCCAGACCCACGGGAAAAGCCTTCTTTCCTGGTGCAAAGAAAATGCAGTCCTCTCAAAGTCTCCCTTAGCCTAACGTCAGGTCCTTATGGTGGCTCACAAGTTTCTTTAAAAAACAAAAAACCCCAACTTTTTAAATGGCCAAGAGAAAATGGAACTGTCACTGGAGGGTGGTGGAAAAAGTAGGCAACCATCGCTAGCGTTTAGGGGAAACTGACCAGGTTTGGAAACGTGACCCCTGTCTGGGATGGAGGCCGATTCTGCAGCGATCGGAACTCGACACAGAAAAGAAAGCACTTGTGACTGAATTCAGGGCTGTCTTGGGAAATCTGGGGACAGGATCCCGGGGAGCCTCTGCTAAGGAGCTGCCTGCCTCAGGTCCAGTAGGCGAGGCTGGGCCGGGGAGGAGGGGGAGAGTTACACTGGAGGGATGGGGCAGAGGCTGCTGCCACTTAGTTTTGATTTTCTTTCATCCAACACAGGGAGGCTGTGAAAAGCACACAGAGATCATCAAACTGGGCTGAAGTCCGATAGGAAATGGACGACCGAGGGATGTCCACTCTGACTCCCAGGTCCGAGGCCGGACGCGAGGCGAGTTGCGCCTTTTCAACAACCTCTAGGAAGTGACCCCCATGTGGAGGCGACCATGGGGAGGGACTGCCACTGCCTGCATTTCTGACCCAGCAGGGACCCTGGCTGCCAGCTTGCTCCCTGGCGCAGGCTTCCCAAACTCACACCAAGTGCAGACTCTCGGAGGTTAAGGCAGCTGCCCTTGGTGACGGACTCGCCTCCCACGTGGGGGAGAAGGCAGAGCCCACCCCGCACCATCTGCACACAGGCCCGAGGACACCCGGCTTTCAGATACTCACGCAAGATGGTGGCCAGGGCCTAAGCACCCCGGAGGGGATCGCGGTCACAGAACTGCGACTTGAGGCACAGGCAGAGCCAAGGCGGAACGGCTGATTTAACTAGAATCGGGTTGGCAGAGCGGTCGGCTTAGGGTTTAACTACCGGGGGGAGGTTACACGGGCCGAAAGAGAATGCAATCGAAACCTCTTTGGTGTTTACCAAATTTCTGAGAAACTAACATTATCTACTCTTTCTTTTCATCAAAATTCCCAAGTAAAAGGAGAGCATTCATTGTGCTAAATACAAGTATGATTAATCTATAATATAAAAGTTTGAAAGAAATGGTTTCTTTGGGGCTGCGACCTTTAAGAACGGGGACCTTCCTTTTGCAGGCAAGCCTGGACAAGACGGAATGAACTTTTACAGCCACAAGGCCTGCATCTTGAAGCCCGGTGGGAGTGAGAACTGCTTCTCAGGAGCAATGTTTTAAAAGCTAAATCCTTCCGCGCACTTGCAAATAAAAAACTCCCAGGGATGCACTGGGGTTCTGTTAGAAGGCCGCTCGAACACTACAGACCGCGGAAGATGCAAATCATACTAAACCGAGAAACTTCGGGGACTTTGAAAGGTGCGTCCGCTCCCCGTCCCCTTCTCGTCTGTCCTGGCAACAGCACGATAAACATGGTTCGGATCAGAGGGAGGGGAGGGAAGAGGTTGGGGTGCAGGTCACGAAGCACACCATGTTCACAGTTTAAGTCAAGAGAACTGTCTACGGTTGCCAGGAATGTGTGGAAGCGATTTCTGGAATGGGGGTCCCCCCTGCGCTCAGAAGGGGCTGCCCCGGGTGCCCCGGGGAACTGGAAAGGTGCACTCTCCCAGGGAAGCATCTAGTCCCCGGGAGGGAGAATGCTCTCTGGGGTGACAGAGCAGGGATCCTCTTTGTGTCAGGCTTCGTTTCTGGGCTCCAGGAGGATGCCTTTCCAGCTGGCTTTTACTGAGGATCTGTGACTTCTGCCAGAGGGAGCACCTGGCCAGCTTTTACCAGGCAAGGCCAGGGTCTTGTAGACAGCCCCTCCAGTGTAGGGGGCGGGGGTGGATGGCGGCAGGGACGGGCTGCCTCAAACTGTCCACGGGCTTCTCGAAACACTGATCTGCTCTGGAGACGGCTGTACCTATCGCCCCATTTTCCACTTGAATAAATAAATAGATAAATAAATAAATAAATAGACAGATAGAGAGAGAAATAATGCCGTCATTCTACATCAACGACCAAGACCCAGCCTATGTTAACGTGTGCAGCCTCAGGTCAGGGTTGAAAGCTGCTGGTACTAAGTCACCCTGACCTGGACTTCCTCTGTCCACTTCAAGTTACTGATAAAAACCCTTGGGAGTGTGGCGGGGGGCCGGCCTACTTCCCACGCCTTCTGTGGGGGTCCTGCTTATCGCCTCCCGGGTTCGAAATCGCGTCTGTGACTTCGTGTCCCTGCGGCACAGACTCGGGACATGCTTTTCCTTGAGGCAAGTACTTGTTTCTTAAGGTCTCAGGCATCCTCCCTGAATGCTTGGCCACCTGTACCTTACCTAGCCAAAAAGAAAGAAAAGGTAAAATAAAAAACAAAACAAAACTCGAGCAAAACAAAATCAAATTTAATGGTCTTAAATGCAAAAGTAAAAACAAACAAAAAACACAAAAAAGCAAAAGAAAATTAACAGAAACAGAACAACCCAAAATGTCAAGGCAAGTTATGAAGAGAACTTTGAGGGTTAATCTTTAAAACTACAAATCAAAGATATTTTTTTTGTTTTGTTTTGTTAATAGATAACTGGCAAGAAGTAAGTATTTTTCTGCTGAGTGTTCATACGAAAGCGAAATACCAAAACAAAATCTGACTAAAATAGAAAAACGAAAATGAAAACAAAACAAAAACAAAAAGAAAACAAAAAACAGAAACAAAGAAACTCTAGCGCTCACAAGAAGGGATGCGAGAAATACAATGCTCAAATGTTTATGTGTTATTAAAAAATAGAGCTATCGTTTGCATTCAAGCTGTGTTAAACGCTCTCGGACACTGGCGGGTGAGGGGCGCCAGTATCCGACAGGTGGGCACCGAGCGTGCGACGTGTGGGCAGGAACTCGGAGAGCAGGGTAGCATGCCTGGAACCTGCATCTGACTCTGGAATATATGGAGTTTCCCTGAAACTCTTTGGTCCGTTCCCTTGGGTGCCTGGGCTTACGTAACACACCTGCGTCCTTCTCTGGAGGGCCTGGCCTGGGGCCAGGCGTGCAGCCCCCCTCCCCGGCGGTGGCCCCCATCGGAGGGGCCCATGGCCGCTCCTGGGACCACTCGGCAGAGCCTGGGACTGCATAAGCAGGAGGTGGCCGTAGGACCTGCTCGGGAAAGCAATTTCCTATCAACCGACGCGTGGATCACTTAAACTGTCGAAGCGGTTGAGAAAGCACACGCTTGGCATCTGTCTAACCTCTTTAGATTCCAACTAACACTAACGGATCATATATATGTGGTTTGTTTTTTTTTCTTATCCAGTTGTGGCGACACCGAATGGAACGAGTGTTAGACAGTCTTAGAAGTTAAAGCATGCTTCAGTTTCACCACCATCCAGAGGGACTGGTTAGTCAATGCAGTCTACTTTAGGTTTCTGTTTAATATATATTTTAAAGGAAATAACTTAAGAAACTTAAAATTGGTCTAACAGTGTGGGATCTCAAACATTTGAACATGTCGGTTGCATCCCAGAGTATAAAAACCTGCTCACTCCGCATTTAGACTAAGACAAAACACTTGTGAACATTGGCGCAAAATGAGTTGTACGCTAACAAAAAAATCTCAACTTCTTCACTCTGAATTATCTATTCCGTACAAAAAAAGCATGAGCGAGTTATTTGTGGGACTTGTTGGTTTTGAAGGAAACCTGTAAGATTTTGTCCCCCAGGCGGTAGCCGTTCAGACTTGCTATGGCCATGGCGGCTTCTTCGTAGTTTGTCATCGTCACAAAACCAAACCCTTTGCACTTGTTGGTGTTGAAGTCGCGGATCACTTTCACGTTGGTGACGGCGCCAAAGGGCCCGAACATCTGCCAGAGGATGCCCTCGTCGGCGTCTTGGCCGAGGTTGTAGATGAAGATGCACCAGCCCGAAGAGGAGTTTCCCGGGACACTGACACCGGATAGCCCGCTCATGTGGTCGACGCCCATCGGGGAGAACCTGGCGGACAGAGCACAGCCTTCGGGTCAAGGTGGGCGCAGGTGACGTTAGGCGCGGACGGCTGAGCGCGTGGGGTGGGAACGCGGGGACTCCGGCCATCCCTACTCCGCCTAGCAGTGACCACCGCTGCCGGGGATAGTCAGGACGACTTTTCTTCCCTTGTTTTGGCCATAGGGCACATGCACTTGCGGACAGAGACAGAGAGAGGTAAAGTGAGAAATCACCCCCAGGACGGATGGCCACGCTGCAACCCCTTCTCTGCCGTTCTCTTGGCAGGTGGCGCACACACACGCGCGTGCCTGGCGTGGTCATGTGGCGCACATACACACGTGTGCCTGGCATGGCTCGCAAGCTGGCAAGTCCAGGGCCTTAGCCACTGTGCCACCTGCCGGTCCCTTTCTTTTTTAATTGAGGGGGTTGATATGGTAGTGGAGGGGGTGGGGGTGCCTGCTCTGCAGGGATTTGCTCCCAGTGTGTTCAGTGGCCTCCAACCGGGACTGGCCAGGCCCTCATCCCTTCCCCACCGTGTGTGATGGTCGGAGGGTCCTGTTTAGAGCCTCCTGTACCGACAGAGGCTGCTGCCCCAGCCTGCATCCCAGCCTGCATCCCAGGTTAAAAGCACCATGTAGCTGCCATTCTGTCCTCTGATCTCCATGGACAAACTTTCCTCAGGAGACCAGCGATGGCATAATAGTTACGTTGCTGGGCTCCCATGTAATCAACAGCAGTTCGAGTCCTGGACCAGGCGGCTTCAAACTTATGCCAGGTATGTGTGTGTGCATGCCCAAAATCCAGAGAGGAGAAGGGAGGAGAGTTTATGGCATGGCCATTCCCCCTGGGGGTGATTTCTCACTTTCTGTCTGTCTCTCCAGCACATGCATGTGCCCTATAGAAAAATCTCTCTTAAAAACAAAACAACAAAAAAAACAACCGGGGCCAGGAGGTGGCGGCGTGATGGTTAACGGTGCTGAATTCCCACACGGCCGACCACAGTTCAAGTCCCAGACCTGGCAGCTTGCTTTCTTACTTCTCCCCAACCCTCTTGCTCTCTCACTCTGTCCCTCTCTGCTCAAATCAAAATAAATAAAGTTAAATAATTCTTAAAAAAAAAACCTTCCTTCACACTGTGTACAGGTATGTGGATATACATACGAGTGTGTGCAGGCCAAATGGTTCTTTAAAGACTTTATTTAACTTTATTTCGTTATTTTAATTTGACCAGAGAGAGACAGAGAGAGAGAAAGTGAGAAAGCAAGCTGCTAGGTCTGGGTTTCGAACCATAGAGAGCCATGTGGGAGTCCAGTGCCCTTAACCACTATGCCACCTGCCAGTGCCGAGAGGTTCCTTTCTTCTTTCCTCATTTCCCCCTCATCTCGACCCTCCCTTTCAGTAGGTTCACAGCTGGCAGGTCTGGTCAGAGTGCACCCCAGGAGGGGCTGCTGCAGGGTGCAGGGGGAGTCCTCCCCACAGTCCCAGGCCACCTTCTGTTACTGCCTCGGAACATCCCACAAGGGTCAGGGGCCAAACAGCTGACCAGGAGATGGGAGTGGGCCTGGGGCGGACACTAGCCCATGGGAATACACAGAGAACCATGTAGAAGTGGCAAGAGGGACTAAGGCAGCCGATACAGCTGTTGGTGTGGCCACGCTGCCCTCCAGGTGTTCGCAACCAAGAGAGTAACAGGGTCGGGCTCAATTAAGACCGTCTGAGTGTGATGCAGCATCTATGAAGCCACGGGATCCACCAGAGAAACACTGCCTGTTCCTAAGTAAAACTGGGCTTTGAGCTACGGAACCTGGCGGCCTAGGCAGGGACCCCACAGGCCCAAGTGGGGGCCGTCAAGGGCCATTAAAGATTTCTCCTTGGGACCAGCAGTTGGCGTAATGGCTATGTTGCTGGACTCCCATGTAGTCAACCATAGTTGGAGTCCTGGACCTGGTGGCTTAAACTCACGCCAGGCGCATGTGTGTGTGTGCCCAAGATCCCGAGAGGAGAATGGAGAAGGGACTGCGGTGTGGCCATCCCCCCTGGGGGGTGATTTCTCACTTTCTATCTTCCTGTCTCTGTCTTTCTGGCGAGCACACGCGCCCTATAGCAAAAACCTCTCCAAACAAAAACAAAAACGTATTTGCCCTCTTGACAGGCATGTGAGCAGTGACCAGACCTCAGGGCTTATCTTCAATACAGGTTTGGAGGAGTCAAGACTCAACTTTGGCCCTGGTTTTAAAAGGGCAAGGGTCAAGGCCAACAGAAGGCGTTGGACTCCCACATGGCTGATCGTGGTTCAAGTCTTGAACCCAGTGGCTTGAAACTCACGCCAGGCGCATGTGTGTGTGTGCCCAAGATCCCGAGAGGAGAATGGAGAAGGGACTGCGGTGTGGCCATCCCCCCTGGGGGGTGATTTCTCACTTTCTCTCTCTCCTTTTTCTCTGTCTCTCCAGCGAGTACATGCACCGTATAGCAAAAATCTCTCAAAAAAAGGGGGAGGGTCAAGGGTCATCTTACATAGTCTGTCACACTGTCACAGGACGTCTGAGTTGGTGGCTTTTGAGGGGACCCGAGGCCATCTAGGATGATGGTGAAAGAGGGACGAGAAGACACCCAGGGATTGGCGGGACACTACAGAAAGTTGCCTTAATCCTTAGTTCCCCTATGGCGGCTACAGAGAGGAAAGTGAACGAGGACCCATGGCTTACCTACATTTTAGGCAGCTGCCAAGTCCGCACGGAGTGAGATTCACCACCTGACTCTCCCTCTTATTTAGGCAGCTGCCAAGCCCACACGGAGTGAGATTCACCACCTGACTCTCCCTCTTATTTAGGCAGCTGCCAAGCCCACACGGAGTGAGATTCACCACCTGACTCTCCCTCTTATTTAGGCAGCTGCCAAGCCCACACGGAGTGAGATTCACCACCTGACTCTCCCTCTTATTTACTATTCCTGGCCACTGGTTTTGCTGCTGCTGCTCAGACCTCGTTACGCGGCTCCTGACAACAAGTCACCCCACTCCCCGTTCTTTTATCCTGAAGGTACCAAGAGAGAAGGACCCTTCGTTCCAGGGTTCTTGGACGTGAGGCGCTGAGCAGACGGTCTGTGCCTCGCCCCTGCAGGCTGAGCCTTCCTGCTGGTAGTGAGGTTTCCCTCTCCCTCCCACCTCCTTCTCCACCTCTGTCCCCACCACCCTGGTTCCTCCACTCATGCCCCCCTTTTGAAAAAGAATGATTTATTTTAATCTGACTTATTCATTCATTTATTTTAATTTGACCAGAGAAGACGGAGAGAGAGAGGGAAAGTATAAAAGCAAGCCACCAGGTCCAGGACTCGAACCATGGTCATCCATGTGGGAGGGTCCAGCATCTTAACCACCACGCCTCATGCTGGTCCCTGCATTCCCCCTTTATATCCTAGTCCTCATTACTACCACAGCCCCCCCCCCCCGGCATTCCCTGGACCCCCAGGGTTACCGAGTGACTCAAGGGATGCCACCATCCACATGCCCGGCCAGTAGCAGTGCTGTATGCTCAGACCAGCTCGCTTCGTCCACAGAAGCTCCTCTGGCCTCTGTCTCTGAACGAGAACACCAAGGCGGGCAGGCCAGCTGTGGGGTCAGAGTTGAGCCGAGAACCTCGGATAACTCAGCTGTGCAAACCACCCCCGTCAGGGCGGCACCTGGGGGAAGCGAGTGGGGTCCACCCAACCTTGCGCCTTACAAGGAAGATGGGACAACACAAAGCCACGGAGGACACCCTCAGCACCCGCAAGATAAGCCCTCGCTGCTTCTCGGTTCTGAACACACGAAAACACCACAGAAAGGCCCCCACACTGGGCTCCCCAAATGCCCGGTGGCCCGTCCAAGCTACCAGCTCCGATCGTGTCTTTCCCACTTAGTCCCGGCAACCAGAACCACTCTCAGTGTGGAAAGACTGAGGACACAGGCCACTCTCCCCGGGGCAGGAGTTCTGACACCCGCGGCACATGACACTCAGGTACAGAGAACGCCACAGGCTGGCCCAGCAGTCCAGCGGATGGGCCCTAGGAGTGCGGAGCTGGACCCAGAGGGCCAGACACAGTTCATGTCCCAGCTCTGACGGCTTGTGCATGTGCCCATCTCAGCAGGACAGAGAGACGGAGGACGGGGGACTGCAGCATGACCACATCCCACCGGAAGGGGTGCTTTCTCTCTCTGGCGAGCGTATGTGTCCTCTGGCAATTATGAGAAGACCCCACAGGAGGTGTGAGGAAGGCCTGCGCCAGGGCTGCTGACCACACGATGCACCTGAACGGAGGACAGCTCACACACCCAGGGTGGCACCTGCCCCAGGCCCACCTCGCGCCCTCAGAACCCTGCTGCAGCGTTAGACCCTCTCCCACGAGCCAGTGGGGACTGGTGCGGTTTCTTTGATCCCAGTGGGAGATGGCGCCCGACCATGGTAAACGCTTCTGTGCAAGTGCCTTTCTCACCAGACAGAGACAGAGACAGAGACGGAGAGGGAAGAGAGTCACTCCTGGGGGGTATCCACACTGCAGTCCCTTCCCGTCTACTCTCCGCTCAGGAGCCTGGGCACTCACGCACACGCGCCCGGCACAATTTCCTCCCTTCCTTTCTTTTCTTAAATTTGCTCTAGGGTGCTTAGCCTCACTGGAGAGAGTGGGGGACAGTGAGAAGGCGCCCCTGGAGGGGAGGACCACGCTGCAATCCCCTCCCCTCCACTGTCCTCTCAGGACTTTGGGCACACATGCACATGCGCCTGCTGGGATTTTCAAACTGCCACCTGGTCCAGGACTCGAACTGTGTGGTCGGCCCCGTAGGGTCAGCTGCCTTAACCACCATGCCACTGGCTGGCCCCAGGTACCCTTTGGATGGGGGTGAGAGCATGATGCGAGCTCTGACGGTCAGCCTAGCAACGCCGTGTCCATCTGGGCAGGCACTTACACTCCCTGCACGGCTGGCCCAGCGCAGGCCCGGCGCCCCTGCTCGGCACCCACCTGAATCGCTGTGCCTGGTGGTGGACGGGGCCTCCGAACCGTCTGGCCGGCGAGTGGTAGAGCTGCGAGAGGAGCGCCATGTTTTTGTTCTGGTTGGGATTGGCTGCGAACTTCACTGTAATGGGCTCGGAGGAACCTGGGGGTTTATGACCATTGAAACTGGTAATTGCCTCTTCTGCTTCCGACCGTTTGTCAAACCGGATAAACGCAACCCCTCTGGACAAACCTTTTTAACAAACCAACAAAAACGGAGTTAGGGGGAAAAAAAAACGTAAGGATTCTTAAAACTGAAAAGCAAAAGTCAAGTCAAGTCTACTGCAGTTCAAACTGGATGCTTGGTTAATGAAATAAACATAAATTAAATCTAAATGTGAAAACGAGTGAACAGAAATACAACGACTAACAAAAGATTAAGGTTTCCGACTTTCTGGATAACTCTATAGTCTCGGAGCCAGAAGGTATTCGGTCCAGGCACCCCAGACACCAGACTCTCTTTTTTTAAAGAAAGGGCGCCAGGAGAGATCGCCCTGTCACTGTGTAGCCCACCTGGTGCCCTCCAGTGTGGGTGCTCAGACTTGCTGGGAAGCCGGGTAACAAGGGGTCAGTCAGGGGGGTTCTGGGGCCTCACCCCAGCTGCCACTCTGAATTCAGCCACGAGCAAGGGCATCGGTGGGTCTGGCCACCCAGGAGGGTGGAGCCCTGGGACCACCTTCCTGACAGTCTTCTGCCGCGTCCCCTTCCTCATCTCGCAGACCTCTAAGGTCTCAGGACCTCTGTGAGCTCCATACTGCCCTCAGGACCAACGAGCCCACTTGCCCTCCCCACCGAAAACCGACCAAGCATGCACGGCGGAGCTGAGCCCACTGCGGACTTCCAAACAGGTGAAGGGCCTGGCTGTGGCCCTCTCCATTCCTGGTTCGGTTCCTGCACGGGAAGGCCCAGGGCCCCACAGCATAGCCCCTGGCTGCCTTGGAGGATACCTTGTCTTGCCACCTGGACCGAGAGCCACCCCAGGGCAGGCTGTGGGTCCCCTGCTGGATAGAGCAGCCTGAGACCGATCCTGATTGCTAGGCGCAGCTGAGATGCTGAGCACTGGCGGAGGCTGTCCTCTGGCCCTTCCCGTCCATACTCTGGGGCCCCTCCCTGGAATCTGAGGGACAGGGTGTGGCTGGGTGTGCCTAAGGGGTATGGGGCGCAGGGACACAGAACGACTGGCTCCTCTTGGGGAGAAGAGTGGGGTCAAGAAGGCCAGTGTGTGGGGTATAGCCTGGGCAACCCTCGTGGGTGTGTCCTGGGCATGGAGGCCATGGATGGCCCCAACCCAGCCTCGGCTGAGGCTGCCAGACTAGGGCTGAGCTGGGCCTCTCTCCTGGGCAAGGGCCTCGCAGCACATGGTGGACAACAGGACCCGGCCGACAGCCAGTGTCCCGCAGCAACCCGAGGACTCTTCCTTTCCGACCCTCACGCACTATGGACACCCACTTCCCCAATCACTCCCTGCCCACACAGCGTCTCCACGCTGCCCCTCACAGGCTCCGGACACTTACAGACATTTTATGGACATTTAAAGCTCGCCCAAGCAGAGGCATGAGCACCAGGGTCCTCCTGGAGCTGGCGCAGAACCTGTGACTCCATCAGGAGCTGAGACTGCACACCTGGCCAATGCTGCTTGTACTCACTCTTACATGGGAGGGAGGACTGCTCGGTTATCTTGGAAGTCTCAGCGAAAACCAAACTTTTGGGAGACACGCCTAAGAGCCACAGCTGGCTGGCTCTTACAGAGCCACCTCCAGGGAGATGGCGTGGTGCCACCACTGAAGACCACATGGCTACACGGCGACACTGCACATGAGCGTGTGGCCTCCCTGCCTGTGCAAAACCAGCAGCTGCTGTGGAGGTTAAGGCGCTGGATCCCAGATGGCTGACGGTGGTTCGAGTTCCAAACCTGGTGGCCTGAAAGATTTGCTGGGTGCGTGCGTGTGCCCCCCAAATCCTGAGCTAAGAGTGGAGAAGGGACTGTGGTGCGGCCATTCTCCTGGGAGGGGGTGATCTCTCACTTTCCTTCTGTTTTTTTTTCTGGTAAATGCACACACCAGGTACCAAAACAAGGAAGGAAAAAAAACTGAGAGAGAAGGGGAACAGCGTGTAAGGGAGGAGGGTATAAACACAGAGTGATCTGGTAAGGGTATGGGCTTCCTGAAGACGGCTATGGGTTTTGTTCAGTTTTATTCCTAGTTTTGTTTTGTTTTTAAAGAGATATTTTGCTATAAGGCACATGCACTTGCTGGAGAGACAGAGAGACAGAAGACAAGAAATCACCCCTGGGGCATAGCCATGTGGCAATCCCTTCTCCTCCATTCTCCTCTTGGGATCTTGGGTGTGCATGCACATGCGCCCAGCGTGAGTTTTAAGTCACTGGGTCTGAGACTCGAACCATGGTCGACTACGTGGGAGTGCAGGAACGTAACCGTTACGCCATCTGCTGGTCCCATTCCTCGTGTTTTTTAGAATGAAGAACGGAGATGAAGAAATGAGACCTACTGGTCTCTCAAGGGAGGCTCCTCCAAGCCATGCATTCTGGGGGACCCAGGCCTCAGGGTGCTCTAACCCCGCAGCCAGTGGGCAGCACACACAATCGGTGTGCAAACACGAACACCAACCCTGCGGGATTCGGTGCCCTGGCTGGGCTCTGTGGGCAGGGGCCTTCCTTTCCGGTTTGTCAGCAAATCCCTGCTCCTGCCAGGCAGAATGAAAGGATGCTAAGGCAGAGGTGGCCCAAGGACCCAGTTCCCCAGATGAGGCCACAGGGGCCTGGCAGGGGCCTCCTGGTCCCAGAGCCTAGAGCGTGTGTGGGGTGCATCTCTCTTTGGCTCATTTACGCATGACAGCTTCATGCAAGGCCCCGAGCCCAAGTCCCACAGCGAGACGGCCTAGGAGGGGTTGGCACAGTGGCCGAAACTGTGACAAGGAAGGGTTCGTCACAAACAGCCACCTTGTAGCTCCAGAGCAGTGGGGAGCGGGGACACGGGCGCAGAGGAGCCTGCAGCGTGCGCCTGCCTGCAGGGAAAGCCGCAGTGCGTGGGCCAGCAGTGGCCCTTCTACCCCACCTGCGGGTACCCAAGGGGAGGAGGGGAGGAGGTCTGGAGCACAGCGATGACATTCCCAGATCAAACTGTGAGCGTCTTCCCTAGAAGGCCTGGCCCCCAGCCTAGAGGCAGGCCCTCGCCGCGGCCCAGGCCGCCTGCTATACCTGTGGTCTGGTCCACCAGGACCCGTGAGTTGATGATGCGGCCAAACCGGGAGAACATGTCCTCCACGTCCTTCTGGGTCATGGTCCTCGGGAGCCCGCTGATGTACAGGTTGGCATCTTTGATGACCTCGGAGCTCGGGCGGGCGTACGACACCTGGAAGACAGAGCCACCTTCCAGGACTGGGCAGCTCTGTGGCCCACACTCCAGGGGAGGGAGCTAATTCTCAGCCTGGAAGGCTGACGGTGTGGGAGGGACCCAGCACAGCGGCCTTCCATCCCCGAGGGCTGGCACCTGCAGGGCGCACACAGGCTGCTCACGGCAGGCAGGTCATGCGCTGGCACGGCTGCCTGCCACTTCCTCCCTTGGTCCTGCTGTCCACAGTGAGACACCACTCCTATCTCACCCCAGCAGAGGCGCGAGGGACCGAGCTGCAGACAGCAGGCTGGGGCCTGAGCCCGGTGGCTGGCTCTCCTGCCCGGTCTCTGACGTGCGACACTGAGCCAGAGCCAGAGGCGCAGGTGACACCCTGCCGCCAGCAAGCTCACCAGGGAAGGCCTGCTCGACCAGCCAGCAAGGAGGGGCTCTGAGGACATGTGGTCGCTCCACGGCTTTGGTCAGGGGTGGGTGCACAATGCAGTGCTGACCCGAGAAAAAGAGGCCGCCACCATGGCCCTCAGCTGCCCTGCCCCCTCCTCCGAAGTGCCCGAGTGGCCTGTTCATCAGCCCCAAGGGACACCCCACTGGAGTTCCTGCCAGAGGGAGAACCCCCAACCATTTGCTGTCCAACTTTACCAAGAGACCCAGACAGCTGGAAGACAACGCCTCCAGCACCCGGCCCTCTGCCCTGACTCTGGCTGCTCGCTAATGCCCCAGGGCTAGGCTGGCCAGCAGGGAACTGGCTGCCTCCCCAGGACACCGCCCCAGCCCTCTGAAGATGGCTTGGCCTGTGCTGCACTTGGGGACAAAGTGACCCCACCCCGGCCCTGGGGACCAGAGGCTCTTCCCCGTGTGTGTGTGTGTGTGTGTGTGTGTGTGTGTGTACGCGTGCACACCTGCCATCCCAGTGACTCCAAAGATGGAGGCAGGAAGGGTGAGCTGAAGGCTGGCCTGGAGAGACCTGGCCTGAACAAGGCCTGGGCATGGCGGTGCACACCTGCAGTTCCAGCTGGGAGGCTGGAGCAGGAGGATCGCAAGCAGGGAGACCCTGTCTAAAAATGGCTAAGTTAGGAAAAAAGAAAAAAAAGAAAAGAAAAAAGAGCAACGGCTGAGTCACGTCAGTGCCCTGGTGCTCAGTCTGGTGCCAGGGAAAGCCCCAGGACACCGGCTGCAGGCCTCGGCCTCCACCCTGGCCTGCCCGACCACCCCTCCCCACCCCACGACCTCTGGGAGCGACTTCACACTGGAACACCAGCTTTCTCAGCCTTAGACGGGCAGTGGGGAGGACAGCAGGGATGCAGCCTGGACGCGCTGGCTTGCCGGGCACCTTCGTACAGCTGTTACACTGCGCTCACCCCCCCACCTGGAGGTCCTAATGCTGCCTGGGCCGCTGTTACAGGGAAGGATGGATGGAGACCCCAGCCCGAATCTGTCAGAGTCCTGGGAACGCTCCTCCCCTGGGGGAGGACAGGCCTCCTAGCTCTTGGCCGTGCCCAGGGCCACACCATCAGGGCCAGAGAGGATGAAAAAGCCGAGGAAGGGTAAAGGCACACTGAGGCTGGCTCATGGGCTGGCACCAAATCCCCGGGAAGGACCCTGCACACATGGGTAGATGCACGCTTCAGCCTGGGGATGGCCTGCAGCTCCCAGAATTTGCCAGCCACTGGGTCTCCTCCAGAGAGTCTGCCCTCGCCTTGTGCCCCAGTCACAAGAAGCACCCCTCAGCTGCCGCACCAGCCTGGGCTGTTAAGCCCCGTGACTCCGCCCTCGCCAGTTCCTCCCCCTCCTCTAGATCCCAACTCTGACTTTCTCAGGGGACCTGCCCTGGCACCACCTTCAGTCGGCTGGAGTCCATATTATAGCTGGTCCAGGGTCCCATGACAACAGTCGGGGGGTTGGCATCTGTCTGCCATGCTGGGCTCTCTGCGGGCAGGCCATGGGCCACAGAACCCCTCCTAGGCAGAGGGCCTGGCCCCTGGGTTGTACCTGCTCCACTTGGCCTATACCCCAGGCTCCTGGAGAGCAGTTGGTAAAACCCCCGGAATGCCCGTCCTTGTTACCCATGAGTCCTGAGATGACTCAGGATGGGGCTTGTCAATGTGATCAGACGATCGGGGCTTTAAGCTGGGGGCCGGGCAGAAGACGGGTTCAACCACGTGGCCAGTGGTTCAATCAGCGCTGCGTAGTAATGAGACCCCAGCAAAACCCTGGCCTCCAAACTGCGCAGCTCCCTGCTGGTGAGCACATCCCTGTGCAGAGTGAGGCGCCCCAACTCCCTGGGGTGAGGACGCAGGAAACCTGTGTGTGGGAACCCCCAGGTTTCCCCGATATTAGCTCCTCACAAGCAGCCCCCAACTTGTACCTATATTAAGACTGCCTGGAAGTACAAGTTCTGGGGGTCTTCGCAGTCAGTTACTGAACCCGAATGGGTCATGGGCACCCCCAAATTTGTAGCCAGCTGGTCTGAAGTGCAGGACACCCGGGGTCAGCTGAGCTGTCCTTGGCGGACTCATGGGGTGGGGGCATGCAAGCTGGATGCAGCTTTCCAGCACTGGCAGGGAGGGGGGAAGGAGTGCTGAGTGGGGCGCCCTGGAGGACACAGGACCCTGGCCGAGGGCAGCTGCTAAGCGAGCCAGGCCCTGCCGCCTCAGGGGCGCTGCAGGGAGAAACGATGGCTGAGGGCTGGCACGTCTGCGAGGGACTGGCCTGCTTCTGCAGAACTAGGACAGTGGCGGGGGTGGCCTGCTTCTGCAGAACTAGGACTGTGGCGGGGAGCCACGGGGAGCCAGATGGCGGCTCCAGGCAGGGCTGCCAGAGGTAAGGACCCGGCTGGGCTGCGGGAGGGGCCCGGCTTTGGCCTCGTTGGTCTTTCCTGCCAACACCAACCCCCAAGGAGGGAGAAGGACCACAGGCCCAGGTGGGAAGTGTGGCCTTGAGTACAGAGGACGGCAGGATTAGCTGCCAGAGCTAGGGTCCCTGCTCGGGGGAACACCAGGGCGCATGTTTGCTTCTCCACCCTCCCTGGTGGAGGGAGCCCCCAGGAGCCTCCAGGAACAGGGACACACAAGGCACGCCCTGCCCACAGGAAGCCTCCGGAACACCGGTCCGTCCACACCAGCTGCACGAGGCGGGCTTGAGACACGAGTGGATGAGTGAGCGCTTCTTAGCGTCATCATGGTCGGGGGAGGGGGGTTCGGCCACTGAGCAGCCAAGACCACAGGGCGGAATGCGTTCAGCCCCGGCTGGATCTGACTCCCCTGGTGGTGGGCTGGGGAGGCCCAGTGTGGCCCTGGGAGCCTGCACCTCCCAGCTCCCTGGGAGGTGCAGCCATGGTGCAGGGTTATGCGGACCAGAGGGGGCGGACATCCTGTGTGCGGGGTGTGGGAAGCAGCAGATCCAAAGCTCAGACAGGACAAGCCCATCCAAATGGCTCAGGGGAGAGAAGATTCTGGCAGGGAGTGAGCTGACCGGCAGGCCTGCAGGCTTCGGGCTGATGAAGCCTCACCCAGCAGCGGGGACAGGGACTGCCAGGAGGAGGCTGAGGAAAGGCCCAGGACTACAGGGAGACAGGGCGCATGGCCATGTCTGCAAGTGGGTGCTGCCCTCTGGGGGCTGGAGACCACTGCGTGGGGCCAGGAAGGAGCTGGGGCTCTGGGCGCAGAGGACCACAGCAGAAATGGGGGAACAGCCATGACAGCAAGCTTGGGCAGAAAGGCAGAGGCCCAGAGGAGCTGCTGACTCATCCCCGGAAGATATCACAGGCCGGCCCGAGGTGCTGTCCCCAGCTCACTGCACGCTAGCTCCTTCAGTCATTGTCCCCAAGGAGCTTTCCCACACAACCTGCCCCTGCCTCCTGGGCGTCCCTGCTCCTTGTGTGCACCCCCGAGCCTGCTTCGTGAGGGCTGTCTGCATCGCTGCCGGGCGTGCAGCAGGTGCTCAATGAACACATGCCCCAGGACCGTCCAATGAGGTGGTGGGGAAGGTTCGTGACTGGCTGTGAGGAGGCAAGATGGGGGCACTGGGTGGGAAGTGGGTGCCGGCACAGGTGCCACCAGCCAGGAGCTATGCAGGCTGCACACAGGCCACAAGGCTGTTCCCGCACCAACATTCCCTGGGGACCCCTGGGCCTGGTGGGGCTGACCTCACAGCTCTTCAGTGGGGGAAGGAGGCTGCGAGCCACCAGGGAGACCCGGGACGCTCACCACCAAGCTCCCAGCTGACAGGAGGGCCCCCCAGACCCCGGCCCTAGAGGGAGGGAGGGTGGCAGCCAGATCCCTGTACCTTGATGGTCTTTGACTGGAGCCTCAGGCCGTTGAGCGTGTTCACTGCTCTCTCCGCGTCCTTTGCAGTCACGTAGTTCACAAAGCCGTAGCCCAGGCTGTGTCCTGTGGGGAACGGGGGACACGGTAAACAGACTGCCAGTTGGCGAGTGAGCGAGTTGGAGGGAGGGCGCAGCAGCACTGGGCTGACTGGCTCTGAGCTGTCAGAGAACTGACGGAGAAAACCCACCAGAATGTGGGACCAGCAGGTGGTGTAATGGCTACGTCACTGAACTCTCATGTAGTTGACCATGGTTCGAGTCCTAGACCCGGTGGCTTAAACTCACGCCAGGCACGTATGCGTGCGTGCCCAAGATCCCGAGAGGAGAATGGAGAAGGGATTGCTAAGTGGCCATCCCCTCTGGGGGGTGATTTCTCATTTTCCGTCTCTCTGTCTGTCTCTCTCTTTCTGGCGAGTGCATGCGCCCTATAGCAAAAACCTCTCCAAAAACAATGTTTTTACCATAGGGCACGTGAGTTCACTGGAGAGAGACAGAGTGGAAGCTTTGTTTTGAGAAACACCGGGCGAGTGTGTGTCCCAAGTCCCCAAACAGAGAGGGACGGAGAAGAAGGGACTGTGGTGTGAATACGCCCTGTGCGGGTGTTTTCCTCCTTCCTCTCTCTGGCGAGTGCACACGTCACCTGGCACGTTAAAGGAAAAAGAGAGCACCAAGTCATCCCCACAACTGTCCCCAGGGCTCCCTTGGTCCTCTGCCCATTCGGCCAAGACCGACAGCCCCCGAGGCAGCTCTGGCCCTTGTCTTCCCCGTGAGCTCTGCCTGCTTGCCTGCCAAGGGTGCCGAGGAAGTCACATGCCCTCAGGTGACGTCTCCTTCCTGGGTCACTTCCTCCTCCGGCCTCGAGTCCAGGTATTAACTGAGCACCTACTACGTGCAGGCCTGTGCCCAGCGAGGGGGCAGATGCTCGTCATGACAGAGGACAGTCTCTGCCTCGCCTGTGGGCAAGTTGGACAACAGAGCAGGAGAAAACGGGGAACACAGCCCAGAAAACGGGGCCCCAGCAGCCGTGCGATCAGGAGGACTCTCAGTGGAGGGTTATGTGAACAGAGCCCTCAGCACGGGCACGCTCAGCCAGGCAGGACAAGTGAGCATTAGAGGAGGGGACGATTTTGGTGCAGGAAGAGAAGAGGGAGCCGGTGCCCTGCACGAGGCAGGCTGGGGATGGCCTAGAGGAGGTCACCAGGGAGAGGGGGCGGCAGAGCAGGGGCCCCCGGGGAGCCACATGTGAGACGACGGCAGCTGTGGGTCCCACGAGACCATGGACGGTGTGACGGGGGAGTTGACCCCGAGAGGGCAGGCCCCTGACCCACAGGCGAGGCGAGATAGGGACTTCCGCACCCCCCAGCCCAGGCCTGCTCTCTCCCCTGTGGCGGGTGGCGGGTGCCTGCACCTGGAAGTACTTCCCCCAGCACTTGCCCACCCACAGGGGGCCTCAGGACAAGCAGCTCTCCCCAGCCCTGGCTGCTAGAATGGCCCAGGCAGCCTTTAACCCACCCCTGCCAGGCCACACCTCTCAGCAACCATGTGTGAACTTAGGGGGGTGACTGGGGGAGTGGGGCAGCTGGCGGTGGCCTCGGGTTTTCCAACCACAACCACACCCTGGTGTCACGTGAAAGCCCTGAGCCCTGGCCTCCATGCGGGCCAAGGGGAAGCCCTTACCCTCACCCCTTCTGGCCGCAGGGCGGGGTTCTGGGTCTCTGGCTTGCCTGGTATCAGAATCACCCTGCACGAAGGTTAAAATGCAGACAGACTACTGGGCCAGCAGGTGGCACAGTGGATCCCACACAGTCAACTGTTCAAGTCCTAGACCTGGAGGCTTAAATCATGCCAGGAGTGTGTGCATGCATGCCCGAAATCCCGAGAGGAGAAGGAGGAGAAGGGACTGTGGTGTGACCATCCCCAGGAGGGTGAGTTCTCACTTTCTCTCTGTCACTCTTTCTAAAGAGAGCACTCACTCACAATATGGCAAAAAAAAAAAAAAAAAAAAAAAAAAACCCACAATTTTCTACTTAAATAAATAAAGGTAGAGGGCAGGCAGCGGGTGAGGTGGAGGTTAAGGCGCGAGATCTCACACGTCTGGCTGCACAGTTTGAGTCCCAGAGCCAGAGGCTTTTAAATTATACCAGTGCACGTGCACGCATGCGTGCCCAAAATCCTGAGAGGAGAATGGACGAGAAAGGTGGGCTTGCAGGGGGAGGCAGATGCTCGGGGGTTTTGGGAGCCACAGACAGGGTGTGCACCTTGAGGCATGAAGCCTGGGGACAGGGAAGGAGAGGAACGAATGGGCTGGAGAGCAGAAGTGAGTGGCTGGCATGACTGGCCGTCCAAGGTCCCTGTGGGCCATGTGCAGCCGCTGCGGGGACCACGGCTCCGACACAGCGCAGGGCAGCAACAGAGGAAGGCCCGAGCAGCAGGCAGCCCCACAGCAGCGGCCTCGACTCCGCGTCTGTGAACGGAACAGCACAGGGGCCGGGCTGGCTGGCCAGAGACAATCTGAGCCCAGCTCATGGAACACTCCCTCCTCCAGCACCGCTGCCCGCAGCCCCGGCTCAGCACTCAGTGAGTCTTCGCGACATAAGCGAATGTCCGAACACTCCCTCCTCCAGCACCGCTGCCCGCAGCCCCGGCTCAGCACTCGGTGAGTCTTCGCGACATAAGCGAATGTCCGCAAGTGCTCGCCGTCTGACTCCCCGGTCCCCACCATTCACTTGCTCACTCGTCTTTCAGCACACTGACTGCGGCTGCACCCCGCGCAGCAGAGATAAACAGGGCTCCCGCCTCCGAGAACCATACCAACGCCCTGGACAAGAGCACGCCAGCCTCAGCGCAGTGTGGGGACCCCAGAGCAGGGCTGTGCGGCATTGACGGTGCAGGCCCAGCGAAGCCTCAAGCAAACGTGGACTGGAATCTGAAGGGTGCTGGCAGGAGTGACAGGGTCCTGCAGGGCTGACCAGGAGTCTGATTACTGCAGAAGGGAGAACGGTCCGGAGGGAGCACAGGTGACCGTTAAGAGCCCAGGGCAATAGCACAGGCCACAGGTGACGGTGTCCTGGCCTGGGATGTCGGCAGGGAGACGGAGGGAAAGGGGGACCAAGGACCACAGGAGGACCAGACCTGGGATATGAGCCACCAGTCACTCTGCTCTCTGACCAGAGCCGCCAGGTGGACAGTGGTGCCGTCCTCTAAGAAGGGGACCTGGGACACAAGTAGCTTCTGGAGAGTTGAGAACAGTTGGGACACACTGGATTTGAGGTGCTGCGGGGCCTGGAGCTCAGGAGGGCTTTCTGTTAAGAGGAGGAGGCAGTCAACTGGGAGATGGCTATGCTGCGACCGTGAACCCCCTCACCCGAGCACACAGGATAACCAGAGGCCCTAAGAAACACCTGGGCAAGACAGAGCCGTGGGACGGCAGGTGCACGGTTTGTGAAAGTCAGGGAAAAGGGTGCTTCCAGACGGAAGCAGAGACGGGGAACCGGAGGTCTGAATGGGAGGACGAACGCCAGCATTCCATCAGCTTTCCTTTCTACCTTTTTAAAAAGATGTTTGCCATAGGGCACGTGTGCTTGCTGGAGAGACAGAGACAGAGAGAGAAAGTGAGAAATCACCCCCAAGGGGGATGGCCATGTTGCAATCCCTTCTCCTCCACTCTCCTCTTAGGATTTTGGGCATGCACACACATCTACCCAGTGTGATTTTCAGGCCACCATGTTAGGGACTCGAACCACAGTGGCCGTGTGGCGGTTCTTCATAGCCAACCACCGTGCCGCCTGCTGGTCTCTTCCACAAACATGGTCAAGTCCTCTCTAAGGCACCTCTTCTTCTGGAACTGAAACAACTCCTGAGCTACACTTCTGCCTCCTTCGCGGGTTCTCAAAAGCAGCTCTCTCCAGATGGCTCTCACCAGAGCCAGGCGTCCCCATTATCGTCACTCAAACTCCTTTGGCCACCATGCCAGGAGAACAAGGAAGTCGGGCGCCCTGAGAATGTTCGCAAAGTCAGACTCTGACGCTCGGGAACATCAGCGGGGCAGAACATCCTCTCCCACCAGAACAGGGGAGGACAGAGGTCAGACCTGCCAGTCACACGGGAGATTTAATACACCCCCAAGGGGCTGGCAGATGGCGTGGTGGTTAAGGGTGTTGGACTCGCACATGGCCAACTGTGGTTCGAGTCCTGGAACTGGTGGCTTGGTTTCCTACTTTCCATCTCTCTCTTTCTCTCTCACTCACTCACTCTGCCCCTCTCTGGTTAAATTAAAATAAATTAAATTAAATTAAATTAAATAATTCTTTGAGAAAAAACAAACAAACAATCAATAAACCCTAGGGCCAGCTCTGTGGCCTAGTAGCTAAGACAGCCAGATCCCATGTGGCTGACCCTGCAGTTTGAGTCCTGGCCCTAGCTAGAGAAACATGCCAGGCATGCGTGCCCAAAATCCAGATAGGAGGGAGAGGAGAAAGAGGGGCCATGGTGTGACCATGCTCCCTTAGGTGGGGTTTTCTCCCTCTTTCTATTCCTGGTGAGTATGCACTAACAAAATTGAAAACAAACAAAAATAAAAACCCTCTTAACAAGGACTCTTATTCATGATGGTCTAGAATAGGAGACAGTGGCTTCCAGAACCTTCTATCACAGTTCAAGTTTGCAGATTATCTAAAGTCCCTCTCCAGAAGGTGTTTATTAAGTCACAAACTCGCAAAGTGGAAGGAGAGAAGACTTCTAGGGTCAGCGGCTCCATGTGAGGAGCCAGTGGCCTGTGTGGTCAGCGGCCTGTGTGGCCAACGGACAGGCCCTCTGGGAGTCGTCTGGGGTCAGGCTCTTCCACGTTACTGGGAAAATGTCGATTGGTGAAGCGGGACGGCAGGTACGTCGAGTTCCACATACTTCACTCTATGTGCATGTGCTTAGACGCTCCCACCAAAAGTGTTTTAACTCTTCAGTTAGCTTAGGGTACAGGGATTCATGGTTCCAACAATGGCGGCTGGTTCCAACAAGGGCGGGGGGGGGGGGGGGACACGGACAGCCGGAGCCCCTGAAAGGACGGGAGGACATGGATGGGGAAGACGGGGGAAGGGCTGAGAACTCTGCCCAGGCTCTCTGGGTCTCCCCCCCGAGTCCCTGATGCAGCTCTCAGAACAGACCTACCCTGTAAGGAAGACACCAACAGGTCCCAGGCCTCTTGCCTCCTGGTGCCACCACTCCCCACCCCAGAACGAGAGGACAAAGGTCAGTCTTGCTGGTGACAAGGGAAGTGAAAAACCCCTCTCGGCCGGCTCTATGGCCTGGTGGTTAGGCAGCCGGGTGCCAAGTGGCTGACCCTCTGGATCCCCATGTGGATGGAGCGGGGGGGCCCAGAAGCCACACTGAGGGAATGTAAGAGCAGGGCTTCCAGCCACCCTGTCTGTCCCCACAGCTCAGGCTCGGCAGGTGCAGGAGTCCAGGTCGCAGCGGGACAGTAAACAGAGCAGCTGAACAGAACAAAGGGTCGCCCGCAGGCGCTTGGTGTCCTGCTGCGGCCTGACCCGTGCGGGGCCTGGGCAGACCCGCCTGTGCCCGCCCCAGGCAGGGTGCCTGCCAGGATCCCCGCACACGCGGGGCTTGAGCAACCTGAGCAGACCCAGCTGGGGGAGGCTGCTGTCCTATGCCTCTTCCAGTTCTCAGAGGTCTGCTCTGGCATGTCCTCATTTTTCCTCTCCTCTTACCATCTCTTTTCAACATTTTTCAGACGCATGTTCACACGATAGAGAGAGACAGAGAGATGGAGGGGGGGCGAGCACACCCCCAAGGGGCACAGTCACACCGTAATTCCTTCTCCTCCATCTACTCCTGCCGGGCTTTTGGGCATGCATGCACACGCACCCAGCATGTTGCTCAAGCTGCCGGGTCTGGACGTGAACCCAGGGCCAGCCATGTGGGATCCAGCTGCGTGAATCACTGGACACAGAGCTGGCCCACTATCTTTCTGTTTTTTAAGGTTTATTCATGCGTTTATTCCATGAAGAAGTGAGATGCACACACACAGGGAGAGAGAGAGAGAAGACAGACAGCACCCCGATAGGTTCTTGGCCCAATGACCCCCGAGTCAGCCCTAAACGGTGGGCACACACATGCCCAGTGTACTCGAGGAGGTCTCCCGACTGGAACCAGGAATCTCCTCCTGTGGGACTATCTCGCAGAGCATCGGTTTTTGTTCAGAGAGAAATTTTGCTACCGAGTGTGTGCGCTTGCTGGAGAGACAAAGAGACAGAAAGCGAGAAGTCACCCCCCAGCAGGGATGGCCACCGGCAATCCCTTCTCCACTCTAGTCTTAGGATTTGGGGCATGTGCGCACATGTCTGGCATGAGTTTTAAGTCGACTTGAGCCCGGCCGACTACGTGGGAGCCCAGCGACGTAACCTTTACGCATCTGTGCCCTGCCGCCCTGTTGGTTTGCTCTCTTCTCGGTTTACAATGAGTTCTTTCTCCTCTGGGAACCTGTGTCCAGTTTCACGCTAGGACAGTGACAAGACAGAGGTCGCGGTAAAGACGGAACTTCACAACCACTGGTTCAAGGCGGTGGCGCTGCCCTGGGGGCGCTGCCGAGGGCCTCTGCGTTCCCTTACCTGCCACTTTATCCCGGATGAGCTTTGCAGATTCGACCTCACCGATGCTACTGAACAGGCTTCGCAAGTCATCCTGGGACATGTTCTGAGGGAGGTAGTTGACAATTAAATTCGTTCTCCCAATGTCATCCCTGCAGTCTTCGGCCATGTGGTCTTCATAACCATTAGACATTGTATTTTGGAAAGATCTGCAAAGACAAAGAAGTTCAAGGAGATTCGCAACGTCCACGCTGCACTGTCAGGAAAAAGCGGGTGACGGGGTCTGCGCTTGGAAAGCTCCCTCTCCTACAGAAGCAGGGCAACTCACGGCCACGTGAGAAACCGCGCCTGAAGGTTTACAGCAGTCACTCACCCCAGCCGAGGCAACAAGATGCACTTTGTTAGGTAAATGGATACGCCCTGTGTTCACGAGGTACATCCATGAAATAGAGCATTATTATTACTCAGCGCCAGAAAGAAAGGAGGGCCTGCCCACATGGCCGACTGTGCAGTTCCAGTCCCAGACTCGGCAGACTGAAAAACATGCCGGGCACATGTGTGTGCCCAAAATCTCAAGAGGAGAATGGAGGAGAAGGAGCTGTGGAGTGGCCTTCCCCCTGGGGGTTGCTTCCTCTCTTTCTCCTTCTCTCTCTGGAGAGCACACATATACTACAGCAAAACTTAAAAAATAAAAAGCAAACAGGAACCAGCAGGTGCATGGTGGTTAAGGTGCTGGACATTCCCTCATGGCTGACCACAGTTCGAGTCCCAGGCAGCTTGACTTCCCACTTTTCCTCTCTCTCTCTCTCTCTGGTCAAATTAAATGAATGAATAAATAAAACTGAATAAACAATTTTAAAAAATAAAATAAAAGGCAAACAAACAAACAAAAACCAATGAGCTATTCAACCACAAGAGACAGGGAAGAATTTTAAAGGCCTATTACGAAGGGACAGAAAAGTTTGGAAAGGCTACGTGCTACACGATTCCACTCTATGACCTTCCAGAAGAGGCAAAACTACAGCAAGCAGGGATAAGGGAGGGACAAGTAGGCGGGCACACAGCATTTTTGAGCAACAAAGTATCCCGTATGATCCTGGAGCCCTGAGGATGCAGGACAGATCAACAGAGTAACAGAGCAAAGCAGGTGCAAGCGGAGCCTGAAATTAATAACAAGGTATCAAGGTTGGTTCCTGTTCATCCGCCATAACTGTAACACACTAACCCCAGATGCTAATTATGGGAGACGGCCTTGGGGAGGGGTATATGAGCACTCTCCAGCAGTTTTGAAGCAATTTTTCTATAAACTGAAAATTACTCTAAAAAACATAAAGCCTATCAATACAAAACAGAATGACTCCAACGAAGAGGGCTTCGAAAAGCCTACAAATAACCCAGCACCATGACTCCAGCAGAACCAGCCCAGGCTGTCTCTAAGGGCTTTCCAAAGAGCCCTGCTGCTCTCTCCCAGGGTCTGCTGCAGACTCTGCCAGGTCTGGACGACCTGTCAGTCCTCACCCGACGCCCAGGTACCATGACTGGGGGCTGGGGAGGAGGGGGGCAACGGCCCTTGGCACCCACTTATTCTCAAGGTCACGGTGACGGAGCAGGAA